TTTTTCCATTGATTTTTAGAGAGAGTGGAAGCGGATGAGGGGAGAGACAGAGAGAGAAATATGTATGTGAGAGAGACACATCGATTGGTTGCAGGGCCAGAGATCAAGCCTACAACCAAGGAAAGTGTCCTGGACTGGAATCGGACCCAGAAATTCTCAGTCCTCGGGCAACACTCTATCCACAGTCCAAACCAGGTAGGGCTGAACTGTTTTTTTAAAGAATAAATAATACATATTTTAGGTTTTTTGGGCCCTATGGTCTCTTTCACAAATACAACTCCGCCATTGTAGCACAAAAGCTGCCATAGACAATAGATCAATGAATGAGCATGGTGTGTTTCAATAAAACTTTACTTGAGCAATGAAAACTAAAGAGAAAATAAACAAATGGGACTACATCAAAATAATAAGCTATGCACAGCAAAAGAAACCATCAACAAAACAACAAGAATGCCCACTGCATGGGAGAACATATTTGCCAATGTTATCACTGATAAGGGTTTAATCTCCAACATTTACAGGGAACTCATACAACTAAACAAAAGGAAGATAAATAACACAATCAAAAATGGGCAATGGACCTAAATAGAAACTTTTCAAAAGAAGACAGAAGGAAGGCCAAAAGACATATGAAAACATGCTCAAAGTCACTAATCATCCTAGAGATGCAAATCAAAACGACAATGCGGTACCATCTCACACCTGTGAGAATGGCTATCATCAACAAAATCAACAAACGACAAGTGCTGGCAAGGATGTGGAGAAAAAGGAACCCTCGTGCACTGCTGGTGGGACTGCAGACTGTGCAGCCACTGTGGAGAACAGTATGGAGTTTCCTCAAAAAACTAAAAATGGAGCTCCCATTTGACCCAGTGATCCCACTTCTAGGAATATATCCCAAGAAAACAGAAACACCAATCAGAAAGGATATATGCACCCCTATGTTCATAGCAGCACAATTCACCATAGCTAAGATCTGGAAACAGCCTAAGTGCCCATCAGCAGATGAGTGGATTAGAAAACTGTGGTACATCTTCATGATGGAATACTATGCTGCTATAAAAAAGAAGGAATTCTTACCATTTGCAACAGCATGGATGGAACTGGAGAGCATTATGCTAAGTGAAACAAGCCAGTGGGAGAAAGATAAATACCACATGATCTCACTCATTGTGGAATATAATGAACAACATATACTGATGAACAAAAATAGAGCCAGAGGAAAAAATTTTTAGAATATAATAGAAGTAATCCTGCTACTTGCAGATTTTTAATATTTCCTACAACTTTTGTGATATTATACTATGTTAGTACAGTTTTGGTAATATTATTATATTTAAAATCTTTTTGAAATATTAATGTTTATTGCATATAACATTATTATATTTAAAATCATTTTTCTTGAAATATTAATGGTTATTGCATGTAAATGGCTAATTATTTTGTATCTACAATCTGGAAATAGATTTATTTTGTATATTGTAAAAAGATAAAAAATAAAACTACTATAAAGCATAAAAAACTATACAGAATTTTTAAACAGCAGAGTTGGTTTTTTAAAATATACTTTTTATTTTAAAGAGGAAGAGAGAGGGAGAGGGAAACAGAAACATCAATGATGAGAGAGGATCATTGGTCGGCTGCTTCCTGCATGCCATACACTGGGGATTAAGCTCACAACCCAGGTATGTGCCCTAACCTGGAATTGAACTATAACCTCCTGGTTCATAGGTCAATGCTCAACCACTGAAACATGTCAGCTGAGCAATTACAGAGTTATTTAAATACATGCAATGCATGTCCCTGTTATTGGAAAGATAAGTTGAGATACTCAATCAGGAACACAAAAGGGAGCAATCCCCCCTCTCATTTCAGGAGAAGCTCAATTCACCTGGAAAGGAAACCACAAGAACACGCTCATGGCCCCTTTGGAAGTGTTTAAAAGGTCCTTGAGTCTTTGGTTCCTATCTACCCACGTCCTGCCTTTATAGTCTTTGCCATCCTATATAATAAAACCCTAATATGCAAATCGACCAAACAGGGGAACAACCAGTCGTTATGACGTGCACTGACCACCAAGGGGCAGCCGCTCAATGCAGGAGCTGCCCCCTGGTGGTCAGTGTGCTCCCACAGGGAGAGCGTAGCTCAGCCAGAAATCAGGCTCATGGCTGGCGAGCACAACGGTGGTGGTGGGAGCCTCTCCCACCTCTGCTGCAGGCTGTTGGTAAGGAGCAAGGGGTCCCGGACTGCGAGAGAACCCCCCCCCCCCAGTGTATGAAATTTCATGAACCGGGCCTCTAGTGATTATATATTGGAGGTATGGCATTCCAGGGGACTTTCCCAGTAAGACCCTTAAAGTTACCCCATTGCTCACTCGACCAGGTGGCTAAATTGGTTGGAGGGTGGTCCCATACACCAAAAGATAGCGGGTTCGATTCCTGGTCAGGGCACATATCGATTGGTTGCACCCATCCCAACTGGGGACCGAATCGGCAACCCAGGCATGTATGTGAGACAACACTCCAACCAACTGAGCTACACTGGCCAGGACTGTTTGTTGACTGATTGATGATAGCCATTCTGACAGGTGTCAGGTGATATTTCCCCTTTTGCAGAACTGATGTAGCTATTCACAGACCTTTACTTTTGTTGTTGTTAATCCTTACCCGTGGATATTCTTTCCATTGATTTTTTTTAGAGAGAGTGGAAGAAGAAGGAGGAGGAAGAAGAGGAGGAGAAGGCAGAGAGACAGAGAGAGAAACATCAATGTGAGAGAGATACATTGATTGGTTGATTCTTGTTGTGCCCTGACAGGGGATCAAACCCACAACCTTGGTGCATCTGGATAATGCTGTAACCAACTGAGCTACCTGGCCAGGGCCAAAGGACTGAGGGCTTTAATTTTTTGCTGGCTATCCCCTGGAGGCCACCATCAGCTCCTTACTGCACGAGGTTCCCCAAAGTGGCCACTTGCTTCATCAGAGCCAGCAAGGGAGTGAAAGTCTCCTCCCTTGAAATGACAAGATGGTTGTCTCAAACTCATCTACGTATATAAAAGCCTAAGTGACTGTTTGACCATTCCACCAGTAGCTATGATGGGCACTGACCACCAGGGGGCAGATGCTCCGGCCGGTCGGTTAATTTGCTGCTGGAGTATGGCCAATTGAGACTGGGTGAGACAGGCCGGACATGCCCTGGAGCCCTCCCATGGTCCCTCTCCAGCCGGCCGGTCCGATAGGAGTCCCTTGGCCTGGCCTGTGCCCTCTCACAATCCAGGACCCCTTGGAGGATATCAGAGAGCCACAGGCCAGGCCGAGGGACCCAATCGGTGCACGAATCCATGCACTGGGCCTCTAGTTTTTAACATAAATACATGTAAGCATATACTTCTGGTCACCTTAGTCATGCACACACTCAAGGGGAGGGTATTACACAAAAATGTGAATGCCAGGAGGCAAGGATCATGGGAGCCACCTTAAGCATGTGTCCATTATACCAGCCTTGGGTATTTAATCTTCAGCTCCATAAGGAGATGCATATAAGGATTTTCATTGTAAAGTTGTTTGTAATTCTGAGGAGCTGGAGGCAGTTAAAATCAATGGATTAGATATACTCATAGCAACATAAATGGATCTTTCTTTTCTTCACTTTTAATTTATGCCATGTTACCATACTTCATTTTAACTCCAAAATGCAAATATCTTTATCTGATTATAATAGTAATACATACTTATTGCAATATTTTTTTCAGACAACAGAGAAAAGTGTAAAGGAGAAAGTGACAAATCATTAGTTATCTCCCCACCCATACATCACCACTAACATTTCCTTCCCATGGATACACAAGTTTTACCAAAGATTTTTTCCCTTTGATGTGCCACTTTAAGTGGTTGAAATACTCTCTGGAACAATGAATGGGTAAAACCTACCCATCTATGTAATTATGTAAAAACAAGTAAATACAGACAATAAAATAAAGACAGAGACAGTAGGAGGGCTGTAGAGATAGAGTCAGAGGCAGGGAGAGACAGATGGGAGAGGAAGACAGAGTTATGGGCACAGAAGGACAAAGAGAACCACGGAGAGCCATAGAGAGATGAAGATACTAGCAAAGAGAGAAGGACAGGATGGAAAGGAGCATTAATTGAGCTCCTACTGAATGTCATTCTTATTAAAACTTCAAAGTCATTATGAGAGGCAATTACTAGTAACCCCTTTATGCAGGTGATGAGGCGAGCTTTAGAATGGTGAACTGACTTGTCCATGGTCACATCACTGGAATTGAACCCATGGCTCTGTAAAGGGCCTGGTCCATAAAGGTGTTCTGTGACTGTTCATCCAGTAAACAAGGTCATATATCTGCTCCTCAAGGCAGAAGAGGTGGGGACCAGACCCCCATTCCACTCATCTGAGTCAATTTTTCCAGTCTGTTTGCTAAGGCGACAGCAAGGTCTGTTGCCTGGGCAACTGCCCTCCAAGTGCCATGGCAACCGCCATCACAGTCTCCAGCTCTCCACTTTGCCCCTTGGGCATCTCCATGGAGACCGGCTGGATGGAGAGGCTGCAGGGGGAGCTCTGGAGGATGCGCCTGCGTCTAGTGGCGGGAGGGGGTGGGCAGGGGATGCCAGGGCCCCCCCACACCCCCCTGGCGTGCGCAGTCGCAGAGCACCGCAGCCTGGACCGCTAGCCCAGGCGCTGCGCATTTGCCAGCCAGTCCGCCCGTCCGGAGCCCGGCTCGCTGGGGCAGCATGGCGGGGTCGCCACTGCTCGGCGGGCCGCGGGCCGGGGGCGTCGGTCTTCTGGTCCTGCTGCTGCTGGGCTTACTTCGGCCGCCCGCCGCTCTCTGCGCACGGCCGGTAAAGGTGCGACCCCGGGCGGGCAGTGGGGGTGGGGAGGATGCTACTCCAGCCCCGCTGGCCCTGGCTCCCCGGACCTGCGGAGGCATCTGTTAGGGTGGCCCGGGGTCCCGCCGCCAGGGCCAGGCTGGGGTCTCTGGGGATGCGGGTGGCAGCAGCTTGGGCTCAGCCCGCAGCCGCGCCCTGCCCATCCCTCTCCGCCTGGCGCCCGGTGGCGCTGTTCATGGGACCAGCACGTATGAAGGGAAGGGGATGCCGCGCATCGATTTGTGTGCGCGTGTGATGTGACGACAGGGGTTGAGGTGTGGTGTCCTTGTGTGTGTCCTTTGCTATGAGC